CCCCAAAACCCCAAAACCCCAAAACCCCAAAACCCCGCATTCAATAAAATATATTGAAGAATTTACTAAAATCACAGAACTTAAGATGAAGGTATCAGTAAAGGCATCCTTTACAGCAATCATCTTTTAATTTCTGGTCGATTAAGTAAGTGAAAATGGGTATAAAAGACCAACTAGACACAATCTAGGGCCTTAGGAAAGGAGAAACAACCTATCTAGACACTTTCGTGATCTGAAAAATAGGCTTGATGAGCTTCCTCTCGGTATAATCGATTATAAGTTTGCCTTTGAATTTGTGCAAATCCTCAAACCTAATGAATCTTCCCTGATATCTGAATCTCTTGGAAGCTAGGTCTTGTCTGCATTCATATCTGACTGATTTCTCACCTCTTCTTCTCTTCTTTTTATCTAAATAGCGCTGGACTTTGAGCTTTCTCTCAGAAGCGGTTAATAAGCCAACCATCTTTTCGGAAGTTTTAGTATTGTTTTTATAGCCAATCAGAGGAGAGTTTTTCACACTTGATGGTAAAATCTCCTCAGAATCATCAAAGTTATGAATCGAATCATTATGATCTGGAGACTTCGTAGTTTGGTTAACTGGTTCATTGGTTGAATTACATTCGCTTTTCACATCAGTCATAGCGAAGGAGGTCTGCTTCCTCACCAATTTCTTCTTCGATTTCAGAGGATCCAAGTAAGTTTCAGTTGTCTCTAATTGGTTGGACTCTTGCAATGAACTGTTAATATCATTTCACCCAGAATAGGAATGTAGTTCGGAAGTAGCATGCAAAGGAGTCGCCAATTTTGACAAGGTGCTTTCAACCTCTGAATTTCTGGGGACCTTCAGTAGCGAAGCTAGCAAGTTCAATGCTGGAAATCGATCCTCAGAGCTTACTTTAAGCAATGCTGCTATTAAATCAGTTTCTACATTCACTGGACCCTCTTGACCAATTTCTTGTGGGAAAGTTTGTTTGACATTTGCCCGAATAGGAACTGGGGTAAAAATGTGCTTTGAACGTTGTTGGACAGCCAGAGACAAAATATTTGCCTGCAAAGGGTCAAACAACCTAGATTTATCGCCTTTCTTCTTAACTTTTGCTAGTAGTGAATAGCTCATTATAATATTATAATATTGACCGAAATTAATAATAATTATGGGGTTTTGGGGTTTTGGGGTTTTGGGGTTTTGGGG